GTCTTATTTTTCTGAACTATTCCGATCTAGATTAACGGACCTTCAAAATGAAAGGGTTGGTTTGAAATAGGTAAAATCTAGCGATGGGGCCTTTGAAAGGGCCCAGTTAATCTTGGGTCAAATGTGAGTTTGACTTCAAACAGCTCTAAGCGAAAGCCTAGCATGTTATGATCATACCGTGTATGACATAAATCAGCGAGGGCCCTTGAGACGCATTCATCAGTGAGGAGGCTCACATTAAGCCGAACTACGGTAGATAAGTTGCAACATAAAAAACGGCTCTAAAGGAGCTCAACTAGGGTAAACACAGAGCAATAAGCTTTCCAGAATAACTCACAATATCGCCGCCATGCCAAGCTATAGTGTAGTTATGTAGGATTTCTTTAGGCATATAGAATAATGTAACCATCAAATGAGCGATGTTCATCTGAAGTAGCAGCGAATGCACCCGACGTTTTTTGATCCATTGATTCCTGAAAGTAACAGAAGGCCTCGTTAGGTTTTCAACGTATCCTAAGGCAAAAGCTTTCACACCATTTGAAAAACCATACAATGTACCTATCATTGTTCACGCACCTTTCCCGACCGTTTGGAGATCGCAGATAGATCAATAAATGGAGCTGGGAGCATGAAAAATCAGAGCATTGACCAAGCCTGGGATGCGCCGTGCATATTACCGCCGCTTAGAATCGCGCTGGAGAGTTGAACGCTGAGTTGATCCGGCCTGCACAAAGACTTCCTACGACCAGCCACAGGGAAAAGCAGCAGAGAGGGGAAGTGATTTTGTGGGAGGACGTGAGCAATTAATGTTTTTCCTGACGCTTCTCCCTTCTACTGGCTTAGTCCTAGTCCTACCATCGGCCCTGTTTCAAATATCCCCAGCGAATAACCTCTTTCAATTGAGCCTTATCGCGACAAACAATTACAATTTATACACCAGAAGATGCGCAGAAAATTCTGCATAAAGTTCCGCAAAAGAGGAAACTCCGTGCCAGTATTCAAATTTTTTTTTGATGCAGTCTCAAAATCGTTTGGAAAACCTCATATCACGCTCACTGGACTATGGTTAGTCTTGTGATCTCTGCACTGAAAACCTCTTTACAGGATGTTCTTCCAAGGCTGCGTAATCGTATTTCCAGGTCGGAGGCGGATAGTTAGGAGTAAAGACTACCCAACATATGGAATAACAGTTTCCGATTCAACACGTATGTATGCTTCCATCTGGGAGTGACGTTGACGTTATCCCTAGCGTCATACGCCGTTAAGTGAAAGATAGAGAGGCCATTATTTTGAGCCATTTCACACCTTAGACCATCCATTTTTTTTTACCTACCGAAGTGTATTTCGTCTTTGGTTGTTCTACTTCATTTTTTGGAGATTTTCCTATCTTCTCTTTGGTCATAGTTAAACTGCGTTGAATTGCCTGTGTTGAGTTAATAAGACCAAGCGATTATGCATAGTAGTGCACCGAGGCGTGCATCAAATGAATCAATAAGAAAAAATAAATGAGTTAATTAAGCGCTATTCCCTTTAGAGTATGTTCAAGGAACGCTTGTAGCCGCAAATAGAAATGATCTATTAAGTTATGCTGACGTCGCCTACTTCCTTTCTGCTAAAAATGAATAATTCCGGTGCAAATATTGCAAATAGTGCATTCACTGAATTGATGACATCTACGTCACATAATCCCGTCCTAATTCCTTTTATGGCATTTTTTGAATTTGGAATTAACTATTGAATCATTACTTTACAAAAACAAGAACAGATGATTGAATGTGTCGAATCTTCTGGAATGAGAGAATCTTCGAAACGCTTGGAAGGCGCTCCTTTCAAGCCTGGCCTATGCAATATTACACATTACAATGAATTCTTACCCTCTCTCAATTTTCATTACACTATATTCATCCACCCCTCCTTTCCTCCTCTTGCTCAAGGGCACGTCCCGGGATTAGACCACTGGAGTCATCAATTAGGTGGGAAGAATAGAGCTGTTCGGCGAAGGTTACCAACATGCAGTGCACACGGAAATGAGCTACAGAAGCGCTATGGCCCTGCCAATGCTCCCGATTGGTGGCTATCAGTGGTACCCCTACCGGTCGCTATGCATCAGCTGCGCATCTGTGCCCTCTTGCATAGCGTGCTATTTCGCGGTTTTCGCTTCGCGCACTGCGTCTCACCGTCGTACATAGCCAACCTCACAGAAGATTCATGTTGGTGCTTTCAAAAATATTTTCGACCTGTTTGGCTTTCCTTTTCAACTTCCTCTGCTCCGCTGTCTGCTCTTCCACCTTCATCATTGAGCGCTCTTACCAACTTTATCCTGAGGTGTCTTGAAGACTACAGGGAAAGGAGATTACTGTCAGTTTGACTTCCGTCTAAGAACGCATGGGAATCCATCCTTTGTTCCCGCGAACTGGCGGGGCGCTAATATTTGATCATAGGTTAGCATAAATCATAGTTGACCAAAAATCACAAGTGACTTGCATTTTTCTGAAGCCGCTGTCACCTGCGCTTGCAAAACCAGTCGCAGAGTAGCGACGTCCTCAAAAAAACTTATATCACGCAGGCTTGCTCAGGTAATCGACTATTTGATAGGTTAGCACTATATGCTGCTGGGTCTCCATCGTAAACTCACCTGGGTACGAGAACAAAGGGTTCTCTATTCCCAGGAGGGTGAAGGGTGCGGTGGGAACAGGAGTTCCTGCCGCCTACAGTAATGCCAATTTTCGCAGTGGGAGGATCCTCCAAAATGGATTAAAAAAAGGCGGGTGAAATTGATTACACTGTTTAAGGACTACCTCCTCTACAAAATTCAGGGTACTGTAGGCGGCACGAAGTATGTATCGCGCCACATGCCGTCTCCCCTGTAATGAACCCCAGAATGCACCTTCTTTTGGAAGCTTGATTTACCTATATGGGATTCGATCGTACAAATAAGGTTGGCGTTTTTCATACGTACATCATACCGTTTCAATACGAAATAAATCAATCAATAAAATCAATAAAACAACATTTGATTAAAAGCTTACCGACACAGAATGAGGAACATAGAGAAGTTTCCGATGAAAGCAATAATAAATACAATACAGTAGCAGAGAACAATTGCCATAATTGATGACGTCACTGTGAGATCAGGCGGTGGAATGGAGCAGTTCATCATTCTGAAAAGTCTCATAGTACAGATAAAGGCGTGCCAAAGGAAACCCGTCAACTGTTCCTAACGTGGAAACCGAGCGAAAAACGACAATAACAAAATGCCAATCCAATAAATGATCAAAAAACATAAAAAAAGAACTGAATAGGCAAAATGATACAAAGGAAAGAAAAGGTAAAAAAAAATTGGGTAGGCGATATGAAGAAAGGAAAGAAAAGGGAAAAATGTGTAGCAAATAAATAGAAAAATTCGGCAGATGGAGGATAAACTGCCAAGGAAAATGCGATTGGCAGGATACGCCGCTCATTCCATTTCCTGCCGGAGGCGTGCGTGTAATGATCCCATACTTCTTACCCGCAACCAGCAGGCCTCACAGAATTTTAAATAACTCTCTATTATCCTGCCCTAATGCGGGTGTGGCACCATCTCTCCAGTTGGGAAAGCTTTGAATATCCGCACAGAAGTCGATCAAGCACGCTCCATTCAGTAAACCGCCTCTGCTATTAACCTCAAAAACTCATCGCGAGTCAAGAGGATACGAAGCTGAAAAAAGAAGTGGCCTGCTAGGGATCGGTTCAAGTTCCCCTTCGAACTGATCCTTGGTCCGGTTCAGATTCTTTCTACCAGTTCCAACACATATGTGCTAATTTCGAAGAAGTGCATGGAATGGGTGGTCTGGATAATATTTCATTTCAAATAAGGATACTTTCGAAGATATATGTACTTGCTCTTGATTTATCAGCTCTAATTTTCTTCCTCACATCTATTGTGAGAGCAGTCCAGGTGGTCGCTTTTGTTGAATGTGTGGTAGTTTAGGATTTCTTACAACGATTCGACTTCGACTTACCAGCTCTGCCTTGGTAACGGTTTAAGAAATAAAAGTGATTCTGCCTTTGTAGAAGACTTTATTAAACTTCGTTACTAGGACAATTCATTTGTTGGCACAACCCAGGCAGAGGTGCAAACGCTTCCTCTCGGTCTGTCAGTGTAGATGCCTTAGAGAACAATTTCAACTGTGGCCTTTCGCCTGTGCACAAACGCCACGCGACAAGGAGCTTTTTGCTTTGCTACTAGCATGCTGAGCTGCAGCTTATTCCGTCATCAGGTGTTGTCTGGCGCTCTCTCACTATAGCGCTTCTTCGCTCTCCTCCCCGCCCCACGTTCCCTTAGCACAGCGGATTGGGAAGGTGAGGAGCCCTTGACCTAAGCGCTTTTGATGGATTCTTTCCTATTTCTGTACAGCCGGCCCATTTCGCCAAAATACATTCGTATTCTAGTGCAAGAGCCACATCTAATGTGGTTATTGACGTGCCTTAAGTCTCCGTGTATGGCCTAACAGGTAAATGAGGCGATGTTCTTCGATGGGCCCACTGTTCCAAAATAAACTAAAATTTTGAAGTACTAATATTAAATTTCCGGTAATATGCCTTGTGATCAAATACAATGAAAAGCGGACTGGTTTGATTCAACGTATTCGATTTTTGTGTCTATTTCAATCACACGTATAATTTCATTGTTGACATAAGACACTGTTGCCGTGTTCAGTAGAGCGAAACAAGAGATAAAGCGTTCACTCAGGTGGTTCAATCAGGGTTGAGCAAAAGTCACTGACACACCTATAAAGCTTGGACTTTTTGACACATCGCGTTCCGCGTGCATCGCCATGTGGCACACACTTTCACACGGAGGAGCATAGTTTTATCTGGTCTACTCAGCATTTTTCAGGGTTCCTGAACCTATTTGTCGGCTCATTTTCCGAACGAAAAACAACACGTGTCGCCTTCACGGCAGGGTGAATATCGCTTGAGGATTCCTCAACGGCACGTCGAGGATTCTCTGCCCGATCAGAGACGATCTCTCGCGCGGACATTCACACTCGCCATGCCGTGCCGTCTGTGCTCTCCGCGCGGATGTTCACTCTCGGCACTACTCTCGCATGGTAGAGAGCTATGGTCGAGGGAATTTCCTCGTATCTTATTGTATAATCCCCTGCCTTCACTGATGAAATTGTCGACAGACTAACGATGATTCATTTTTGGAGAATATAAAAAGGATACGGACATACTCGTTCAACGGGCTATCCTCACGAATTCCTATGTCGACTTTCTCATTCGATTTTCTTAGGATATATCGCTAAGATGCTGCTACCATTGAGCACTGATTTCAAAGCTGCCCGGTCTTCTGTTTTGCGAGTTCTAACCACCAAGCTCCAAAAACAGCGTTATAACGGATGCGTTCTCCTTGATTTCTGTACTCGTATTCAGAATATAAAAGCGTTCGACCCTTGTGTTTTCGACCATAGCGTCTTTTTTGAGGTGGGGGGGTTACGTAGTTCAGAAAAGGTGTGCTATGACTCTTGAAAATAGTGTTTGAGATTACTTGCGGCCGAGCAGATCTCCGATCTCATAAACAACGAATGGCTCCGCATTCTCGCCTTCGACCGATAATTTTCATGGGCATGGGGCAGCTTGGAAGAACAAAGCCTTGTCAAATACTAAAATTTGAACCATCTAATAGCAACACTTTGAAGTCCCAAGGTTAAATTTTTCAAAAGTACCTGCGTGCCGCATGCGTGCGTACAACCAAGGTCTAAGGAACTGCGTAAGGGCCAAAGGCGATCATTTCAGAAACCGTTAGTATGTTTTGAATTGTCGCACATTTTACAAATAATATCTATGTTCAGGATAATTTCTGGTGGAAGCCAGTCTCAAAATGCCAACAAGAATATTAGTAATTGTGCCCCACCCTATGCTCAGTGTAAAATGCTAATACACTTTTTCGATCGTAAGTGGGCCTTCACTTTAATTCGCTCGTTTGATGAAAGAGCTCTGCCTGTCGAGAAGCTTGCATAAGAACAGCAACCGAATCAATGCTTACTGGACAAGTACAGCTCTTCAGGCAAGGTACGCTTTTTCGAAACGGTTTGTGCATATTGGCAGGGACGCATGTAGGGAACGCAAAACCATTTTATTTTCGCTGAAGCGGTTGTTATAGCAGTACCAAAAAAAAACATTAGGTGCTATTAAGGGTTCGATCTCCCGTGGCGATAAGATTTGCATGGTTGTGGCCTATCGTTTTGGTGGCCAAATTGCTAATATCAAAATAGTATGTCAACTTCATACGTCAGGACTTTTATTATGCCACAAGAGTGCTGCATGCCTGATTGCAAAAATTTTAGCTCCGCGCGGGGGTCGAACCATTAGAGTATTGATTCCTCACGTCTTTTTGGTAATTACTGGAAACGGTTCCAGCGTATGTTGTTTTGTGGTCCAATACATCGTCCTCTAACATACATGTATTACTCGTTTCCAAAAAGCGCACCCTGCCTTGAAAGGCATCCCTTGTGAGAAGCCAACTTCAGCCATTCAGTGATCGTTTTTCAGAGAATAAAGCAGGATCACGAGTTGAAGACACCTTTGGACTGCTGTTGCTCTAGATTAAAAACTGAATAGCACGAAATTATATCAAATATACAGGGGGGGGCCAAAAAAAAGACATTTTGTCTCCACTTCCAGATGGATTTAAGCACATTTTGCTCAATTCAGACCGAATGGTTCCCAACTTATTATTAAAGAGCGCATTCCATTCTATAAGAAAATCTTTATGGTGGCCACCTACGTGGACGGCATCAGAAGAATTTGCCCTGGAAACATGGTGCACTGGTCGAGCTCAATGGGGTCTTCGAAGGATCGTGTACCATAACGACCCTTTACTAAAAAGCTAGTTTCGAGGGGATTTGCATAATGGTAGCTAATGCCTTTAGAAAACCATCCAACATTAAATCGATTCACAAATTTGCGTAAGAGCTTCAGGCTGAAGCACTTACGGTAGACCTCCTTGAGCCCTTACGTACAGGTGACACAGGTGACTCATATTCAGAAGAGGTGAGGGCAGTGAAGGAGGGCCTGGCTGAGGAGGAAAAGGGCCGAAGTCCAACATAGACAAAATGTCATTATTTGCAGCCCCCCTCCCATTGAAGATGAGGAAATTTGGATTTTTGAGAGTTACGCGTTCAGCGTCACTATTAGAAAGACAGTCTGGTCCACCTTCCCCAAATATTCGAGTGGACTCGGTGATGGTAGAGGGACACCTGTAGGCTTCGTGCTATTTCGCGCATGTGCTCGTGGAGTCTGCCTCCACCAGGTGACCCAATACGATCATTGTCCACTTAGATGATTCCTGATTCACGCTCAACATTATCATGTTGAGTCCGTTTGAGTCGTTCTACACCAACTCGTCTGCGCATGCTTTCGACCTTGTATTCTCCATATGTAGCATTGATGCGACGACTAGGTTACTAATTCACCAAATACGAAACCTTGCAGTAGCAAGTCATGAAAGTGTTTTCAAAATTGTATGTTGCGGAAACGTGATGAGTATATTGTTAATAACTAATAATAGTAATACCAATCTAGCACACATGTGTTCTACTATATAATCACCGCTAAGTCTTAGGGAGGCATTAACCAGGAAAAAATTATAAATTGAACCGCAATGGCACTCGCCCCTATCACTCATACTCCAAATTCAGTTGAACGTCCAGGCTGGAAATGAGGGATCCGTGACAGAAATAATAAGGGGAAGTAAGCAGCCTGGCCACAAACGCCCACTGATGTTGTTCAAATTTTGATACCGCATCGAATACGGGATTTCCTACAAATTGGAGAAGGGACCACATAGCTTCCCGCTCGATCCGTGAAGTGCTCTGCATTGAGTGTGCGAGAAACCTACTGCTGTAGGTCATAATTGGACATTCAGTGGAGTCAATTGGACAGTCAGCATTCTGACCCACTTTGGACCTACCCCGGACAACCCTACATACTTCCATGATAAAGCGACGTTGAGTTCCAGGAAAGAGAATTCATTTACGCATCAGCGCAGAGGCGGCCACTCCAGGAATTAATATTATTTCCTGTTCAATAATTTTCCACCAACATATTGGTGTAGTTAGCTAGTTTATCATGTTACCGTGATTTCTGTCACCCTATAGAACGAATTTCTTATTG